ATCGTCCCTTCCGAGTACAGCACCAACGTAGACTCTCCGCTCGCCGAGGGTCTGCCCATCGTCGTCGACAAGGTCCGCGCCCGACGCTACCTCATTGAAAAGATTGCGGAGAACGGTGACAAGTCGAGCTGGATGAGTGTAAACAACGGTCCCTTCTTCGAGCTCGTGCTTGGATTTGGTGGGTTGGGTCCGAATTTCCGGAGCAAGACGGCAAAGTATCACAATGGCGGCGACAACTTGATTGGGACTACAAAGATTTCGGATGTCGCCGAGACGATTGCCAAGGTCTTGCGTGATGAGAGGGGATTGTACAAGGAGGCTGAAAATAAGTCGTTGTATATTCATTCAGCGGCGGTCAGTGAGAAGCAGTTGACGAAGATGGCGGAGAAGGTGACGGGGCAGAAGTTTGAGGTGCAGAATTTTGATGTTGGAGAGGTCTATCAGAATGCTAAGGCTAAGTTCGCCGGAGGTGATCGGTCGGTCTGGATTGACTTCTACTATCAAATGATGTATGGGAAGGGTTATGGGGGTAGCGAAAGCTTCCAAGAGATGAGCTGGAACGACAAGGTCGGCTTGAAAACAATGAGCGACAAGGAAATTGAGGATGGGCTCAGGAAGGCGGCTCAGCAGGCTGGTATGATCTAGGCAATCAGTTGAGAAATAAGTCAATAGAGATGTGATCGTATTGTGACAGTCTTCCTAATCGAACATGTATGGCTTCAATCCTAAACCCAGTCTGAAGATCCTTAATCCGTACGCCTCCGAACCAAAATGAAAGCAATCGCCTCAAAGCTTCGAGCGACCCCTCCAGGCATGTCCCATCTCATCCTTGAACGTAGCAAGCTCATTCCTCTTGCTGTCACCACCGTGACTGACCTGAACAGGCTCATCAAACATAGTCTTGCTCTTCTTCTCCTGCCTCTTCTCCGCGTCAACGTACTCTCGCTCTCCCTCGCCAATGTACAACTGACGCGGGCGCCAGATTTTGACGCCGCCCTTTTGCAGCATCTGCTGCCTCCAGTGTGCCAACCATCCGACGCAGCGGGGCACGGCAAACAGCACGGGATAGAAGTCAAGCGGGAAGCCCATGGCCTGGTAGATGAGGCCGGAGTAAAAGTCGACGTTGGGGTACAAGTTGCGCTTCTTCATGAACTCGCTCTCGCGCGCGTACTTCGCAAGCTCCAGCGCAGTGTCGAGGAGCTGGTTGCGACCTGTGACTGCAAAGACCTCCTCGGCCAGCTGGCGGATGGCAGTCGAACGGGGATCGACGTTCTTGTAGACGCGGTGACCGAAGCCGACGAGCACGCGCTCGCGCTTCTCAACCTTTTGCATGAAAGCGGGAACATTCTCGGGGCTGCCGATCTCCATCAACATACGGATTGCGCTCTCGCTGGCACCGCCGTGACTAGGGCCGTAGAGCGCGGCGCAGCCGGCGGAGACGACGCTATAGGGGTCAACGAGACTTGAGCCGACCTGCAGGACCGTGGCGGTGGAGCAGTTGACCTCGTGGTCGGCGTGGATGATAAAGAGCGCGTCAAGGGCGCGCTCCAGGACGGGGTGAGGCTGGTACTCGTGCCCGCTCAGGTGGTCGAGCAAGTAGAGGAAGTTGCCGGTGTAGCTGAGTCCCTGGGCCGGGCGGTTGAAGGGTCTGCCCTGGCGCATGCGGTATGAGGCAGCGGCTACCGTGGGCGCCTTTCCGATGATGCGGAGGATCTGCTTGTCGAGCATCTTGAGGGCCTCTAGGTCGCCTGAAGCCGCGTTGGTGTACAGCTTCTGGCCCTGCAAACTCGGGTTCGACTCGGGAGCGAAGGCACCCATTGATGAGAAGGAGGCTTGCAACATGGCCATGGGATGTGTGTCGTAGCGGAACGACTTGAACATGCCCTCGATATCGCTATGGATGTAGGTGTGGTGCATAATCTCATCTTGCCACTTGTTGTACTGTGACGTTGTCGGCAGCTCGCCGTAAATGAGAAGGAACGCTGACTCCAAGAAATGCGACTTGTTGACAAGCTGCTGGATGGGGTAGCCGCGGTACCGGAGGATGCCCTCCTGGCCGTTGATGTAGGTGATGTTGCTCTGGACCACGGCGGTGTTCATGTAGGCCGGGTCGTAGACTCGGATACCCTGGTCGGTCTCATCCTCCGCGCGGTCATCGCCGCGAGCGGCCTTGATCTTCTTGATATCCGTAGCCAACACGGAGTTCCTGGTAATGGGCAGCTCGTAAGACTTGCCAGTGCGGTTATCGACAATGGTCAGCGACTGTCGCGGCGCGCTGGTTGTGCCACGTGGCGCGTTCTTTGCAACGGTGACCATTTCCGATGGGGAGCTGGGAATCGATTCTGAGAATTACTGGCTTCAAGAGATGAGATGACAGTGGAATTCAAGGGCTTTCAATAGGACGTTGCTTGAGCCCGGGCGGATGGATTTCAGATGCTACGGACAATGTTCCTTGTCCGGAGAGCTTCTCCTGAGCAGGTGAAAGCTGCGCTAAGACCGTCGGTTGACGTCGGGAGATCGGCAACTGTGCCCGAGTGCCGAGGTTCAATTGTAACTCTCCACGAGTTCCACCAGATCCCCAGATTAGTGGCTGAAGCTAGCTGCATTTGCACATGCCAGGGGTGGGATCATGATCTAGGAAGAAGCTTCCATCCTGGTCCAGTAACCACCAGATGATCATGTTCTCCTTGTCGGACCAGCGGCGATTCTTGCGCGCACGATGAACTCGGCATCATCCTCGAGTAGATAGTCATTTTCTGGGCGGGGCTGAAGCCAATGGAGGATGCGACTCTCTCTCATGGCATTTGATCCCATTGCATGTGATCGGAAGCTGTAACCAAACCTTGCAGGGTGCTTCCATCGATGTACGGGTATCACTAGAGGCCATGCACTTTGAGTAAAGGTGACCGAAACAGGCAGTGCCGTAAAAGTGTAGAGACCGAATTTGAGAGAAATGGAAAGAGCAAATTCCTTGAGTTCGGGACAGTGTTTACTAGTAGCGACTGTGTTCGTGATTTGTGAAGGAGCTGCCCATAAGTCAAACCACCCACTTTTGGCCCACCCTATTTTGGTAGGGCTACACTAAAACCTACTATTTTTAACTATATACTTAACTAGCTTATTTATATATATTAAATTATGAAGAAAATATATTAAGTAGAATATTAGTTAAATTTAACGAATATAGGATTCTTATAATTATATACTAAGTCCTTATTACGTAATAGTACTAAAGCCTTACGTATCAAAAATTATATAGTTAAGAAGCATTATTTTAAATATAAATAATTCGAGTAATACTTAGTTATATAAGCTGAAATTTAGCTATATATAGCTTACTTATATAGATTTTCTAAAAATATCTTTTTTTAATTAGTAGTATTCTTTCTCACTTAGTAATATTAAGTTAAAATTTCCCCATTGTAAATTTTATATAGGGAAAATTAAACTTACTATAGCTATATAAGTATATATTATATAATAATAATAACTAGTCTATATAGTATATTTAAGTTTAAATAGTCTAAATAAAGTTTGTTTATTTATTTAAATAATAAATAAAAGATTTATTTAAGTTTTTTAGATGTTAGTATATACTAGTAATTTTTATATAAACACTAACATTTCTATAACTTTAACTTTAACTTAATAAAACTACTTTTATAGTTAGAATTACGTAATATAATATTTTTATATAGATAATATTTATTTTCCTACTTATATACTATGTATATTAAATAAATATATAAAAGTGGATTTATTAGACGTATAATAAAAAGTAGAACATTTGGTGTAAACGGGGGTAAAAGGGTGGGCCAAAAGGGGGGGTGGGCCAGAAGGGGGTCTTTTGACTTACTAGATCCGGTCTCAACTCGTGTCGATCCCTCAGAAATGTCTGCATTACAGGGACCTACTCTTTCTTCCGCTCCACCTTTTGGACAGTTGTAAAAAGAGTTGATAGCACTTTTCTCAAGTTTCTGAGACAGACTTTTTGATAGATCTGAGTGTCATCGCAAGATTTAGAGCGTGGTAATAAGTTCAGTCTAATCTGGATAAGTACGCCAATGAAAAGCAACATACAAGCTTCAACAGGAGCGGGAAGGTGCAAGCCTACCAACTCATGACTACACAGTAACACAGATGACTGCTTCTTTCCATTCTTTCTTCTCTCAATTCGAGCTTTAGTGAGATTGCTTATGGTCCGTCGCATCCCATGATCTCTACATCCATAGGGAACTCTAGCGATTATTATGAAAGTTAGTTGACAACGGTCATCAGTGGAAACTTAGTTGCGCATCAGAATTGAAGTTTCCGTGCTTGGAGTGATAACTCAAGACGACACTTCAATCAGAGAATTGAGCCTTTTTTTGGAACACTTTTTGGAAGCTTGGCAATCCATCTCACTCAAAGGTTTCTCTTGTCATATCATGAAGATGTCGATGTGTGGATCAAGTGCCTTCAACAACCCTGATCCATGCAAAAATCAGACCAAGACTCATGGTTCGAAAGAAGATGACCAAACTTTGATACCTATTGTAAATACAACGGCGACAGGCTTCCCCGCAAACCCGCACAGTGGGCTACCTTGCGGCTTGCTAGGTACAATTTGGGGTAGAAGCAGGGTGAACGTTTAGGTCGCGTTTCCTCCGCACTTCTCTGCAGATCACCTCCGGATGTCTTTGTAGCGCACTGCAAATCACTATAGTTGAACTTCCTTTTTGAATTCATCCTTCCTAGAGATCTCGGGCTAATTCATCGCGTAACCAAGCACGCCGACGTCACTTACCAGAACCATGGGATTGAGGGGAAGAACATGCATCTAAGCACCCCAGTTGATCCGGATCGTCCTCCGTGTGGAGGAATCCAAGCTGGTAATTCTTCCGGGTAAATTGCTACAAGATGCCGCTTCTGCCATGTTTGCTAGATAATTTGAACACTTGCTTGAAAGTCTCTTGGACCCCAGACTTGCACACATAATACTCTGGATCGGAGTGCGCAAGATGATTTTGACACTTCTGTGCACCACCTTACTGCCGGTGGTCGCCTTGGCAAACATCGACCGGTATGTACATCTCTACTAAATGTCTGTTAGGCCACCGTTCAACTGACACATCTGACTAAGACAGCGTGTTGTGTCTCAATTCAATGTTGTCCGCACAAGCTTGATCGATAACAACACCACGCCATTGCAAGTTGGCAATGGCAACTTCGCCTTCAATGTCGATAACACGGGCATGCAGGTGAGTATCAACTGCGAACATACAGTGTGTGTACCTCAAGGCATTCAAGCTGAAGTTGCAAACTTTGACAGACTTTCCTGCCCTTCAATACGCTTTCGAGCTGGGCCTGGCACAATGATTCGCTTCCAGCCAATGGGTTTGTCATACCGCGAGGATCTTGAACAGGATAAAATGCTGAGACTAGGTACACCCACAGCGAACAGCTAAGCGACTACACCGGCGTCCCTATGCTGACCCATGGCCGAAACGTTTCCTACGACATCCCCGACTCCAAGCTCCCGCAAGTCTCGCAATGGCTCATCGGGAACCCTAATCGCATCAACTTGGGCCGAATCGGTCTGAAGTACAAGGGGGAGACGCTATCGGCAGCAGCCATTTCTGAACCAAGACAAGAGCTGGACCTCTGGAGCGGCATCATCACCTCGACTTTCAAAGTGGACAGTAAGGCTGTTGAGGTGGTCACACAGGGCGACTTCGCAACCGACGCCGTCACATTCCAAATTGAATCGGACCTCGTGTCCTCTGGCGATTTGACCATCGAGCTCGACTTCCCGTACCCGCCTATTCACACGACAAAGTACAAGTACGAAGTTTTTGCAGGCGTGTACGACTTCCCGTTGAACCACACGACTCGAATCGTCAAAAGTTGTGGACGATCCGACCTGGCTCACATTTATCATGAGTTGCAGGAGACGAGCTACTTTGTCAATCTGCGCTGGCCTCATGAAGCGCCTCTTGACCTCTCGCGGGATGAACCAGAGGGCTCTGATAAGGTCAACGCTCATCGATACACGCTCTCTTCTGTTGGTGGTACTAACCAGACTGCAACTTCTTTGACATTTACTGCGGACTTTTCACCCCAGAAGCAGGATCCCAGGCCCCCGGCTGATGTTCAAGAGGAAAGTATCGCTGAATGGCACGACTACTGGAACGAGGGCGGCTTCGTCGACCTGACCTTATCATCGAACCCGAATGCTACAGAATTGCAGAGACGCATCATTCTATCACAATATCATGTCCGCGTTAATAGCGCAGCATCCGGTCAATCGCCTCAGGAGAGTGGACTGATGAACAATGGGTGGTACGGTACGTACATGCACTCATGTCCCATTCGAAGAGGATTTCGAAGCTGATTCAGGCAGGTAAATTCCACATGGAAATGGTCATTTGGCATAATGCCCACTGGGTTACATGGGGACGAAAGAAATATTTCGACAACATATTCCCGGAGATCTACGAGATTTTACTCCCATCTTCCCTCGCAAGAGCGAAATCACAAGGGTGGGAGGGGGCCAGGTAGGCTCGCTTCGATTGCAGAACTGTCAGACCTACGATCTGACTGTGTTTGTAGGTGGCCCAAGATGACGGAGCTAGAAACGGGTGTCAGTTCACCTGGTGGAATCAATGGCCTTTTACTATGGCAACAGGTACTGTCTCCAATTTCCTGACGCAGCGCAAATTCACAAAGAAGCATCTTTGCTGACAAGACAGCCTCACCCTATGTACCTGGCAGAACTTGCGTATCAGTCTTCACCGACCGATGACACACTCAAGCAATGGGATACAGTCTTGACGGCGACTGCTGACTATTTGGCATCGTATGCCTGGAAGAACGAAACCTCAGGACACTATGACTTGGGCCCACCGTAAGTCTCGTTCTCTTGCAGGTGAGACTGTAGCACTATATGCTCATCATGAGACTCTCCCAGATCATACGGTGTAACTGAGAATACACCACCTTCACAGACACTGAATCTAGCCTACGAGGTAAGGACGTTATGAACCCAGCTAATTCACTAAAGCTTCCACCTTACATCGATACAGATCGCATATTGGAGATACGGACTTGATGTCGCCCGCGAGTGGAAGAAGAGATTAGGTCAGACGGTCCCCGAAAAGTGGACAGAAGTAGCCGAGAACCTTGCTCCGCCGCCTCAAGTCGACGGTCTATACGCAGTATACGAGGGTTTGAATAGCACATGGTGGCAAGACCCCGCTCTCAACGGGGACCCGCGCAGTCTCATCATGATGCAGGGGATACTGCCAGACACCCCAGCCGTGGACCCCGACGTCGCACTCAAGACGGCGGACAAGGTGTGGGAGGTTTGGACGGATCAGAAGATCCGTGGCTGGGGACGGCCTGTGTTGGCTATCAACTCGGCGAGGATCGGGAACCCAGAAAGAGCTATTTACCACTTGACGGCGTATGATTACTGGAAGTTTGACGATGCTGGCTATGCTATTCGCGGTGGAGATGGTCAGTGAAACCCTCTCCGACGCCCCTATCGTTGCTCATAATTGAAACAGGTGGCACGCCTCCCCCTTTCATGCCCGGAAACGCTGGGTTTCTATATGCAGGTAAGTCTTGATCCTGACATCTGCCTTGAGTAATGGTTTAAACTGACAATCACTAGTCGCATACATGGCCGCTGGCTGGCAAGGGTCAGACGGCGACGCACCCGGCTTCCCTGAAGGAGCCGGATGGGTTGTCAAGCAAGAGGGACTGCAAAAAGCACCCTAAGGAGGCTACGTAGTATCAGTGGCTTTGAATGATACATCACATTTGGAACCACTTTACCTCAGAGGGCGTTCACCAGATCTGTGCACGACTCAATAACATTGAATGTGGCCCGGTGACTTTGATCAACGTATATACTGGATTCCTAGAATTTGCTCTACATAATCATCTACCACTCTCTGATCTCTCCACCAGGTCCAATGAATCCAGGGCTGACCCAAGCCTTCACGTCCTTAGATAGCTCACGAACTTGCGCCTCATCAATCTCAATACCCAAGCCAGGCCCAGTAAGAAGATCAATATAGCCATCCGTAACCTTCCACACCTCCGGGTTATGAGTATAACTCGTCAGGTCCTGACCCGTACTATTGTAATGAATCCCCAAACTCATCTCCTGAATCACAAAGTTCGGCGACGCAAAATCAACCTGCGCATTCGCAGCCAATGCAATCGGTCCCAGCGGACAATGCGGCGCCAGCGCAACATCATACGCCTCCGCCATCGCCGCGATCCTTCGCATCTCGGAAATTCCACCGACGTGAGAAATATCAGGCTGCAGAATATCCACACACCCGGCCTCGAGGAACGGCTTCACGTCCCAGCGGCTGTGTAGACGCTCGCCGAGGGCAATCGGGATCGAGGTGAGGTGGCTGATCTCCTTGATGCCGCCCAGGTGCTCGGATAGCAGGGGTTCCTCGATGAAGAGCGGACGGTGCGGCTCTAGGGCCTTTGCGAGTTGCTTGGCCATGGGCTTGTGTACGCGGCCGTGGAAGTCGACGCCGGCGTCCATGCCGAGGGCTTTTACGGCCTTGACGCGTTCGACGGCTGCGTCGAGGGCGTCGGGGGAGTCGAGCCAGCCGAGGTCTTCTGTGCCGTTCATCTTGACGGCTTTGAATCCCTGTTCCTTGCGGGCTCGTCTGTTGTTAGTAGAAAATGGAATTAGCAAGGCTGCGTCTGAAGGGGCGGTCGGTGGTTTTATTCACTTACGCCTGCTGTTCCACGTCGTTTGGTCGGTCACCACCAATCCATGCATAGACCTTGAGCTTGTCTCTGACCTTTCCTCCCAGAAGCTGCCAAATTGGCAGGCCCAGCTTTCTAGCTGTTGACTGTCAGTCACAGCATCGTAGGTAAGGCCGTATCAAGCCTGCTCACCCTTGAGATCCCACAAGGCAATGTCGATGCCTGCCAACGCGCTCATGAAGACTGGACCGCCACGGTAAAAGGTTGTCCGCCACGACATTTGCCAAATGTGCTCAATATCACTTCTTAGGATTAGCAATGTGAAATTCAATGGCTAGGTAAGTAGGCCGACATACTCAGCTTCCATGCCCGAGTACCTCTCAAACCAGGCGTCGAGACAGCCTTCCACGGCTTGAGTGTGGCCCTCGAGAGATGCTTCGCCCCAGCCGACGTTGCCCGCCTCGTCGGTGATCTTCACGAATAACCACCTGGGTGGTACTCGGAAGTACTCCATCTTCGCGATTTTACCCATGGTGACTGGAGTCTTGCGGCCAATGACGTATGCGAACTTTCGTAAGGGTCTTTGGGGAATCAAGGTTTGCAGGAAAAGGCAAGGTTAACAGCTTTGGTTGACTCTGATAGACAGACGCTTCAACCAGCTTACTTGAGGCAATCGTGAGCTGATATTACCACCACAAAGCGGAGCTTGACGGAGTTGAATGACGGGAAAGTCGGCTTGAAGTCCGGAACCTCTCCGACCCGCCTCCTCAGCCGCCTCTCGTCTCCCGATCCGCCTCCGAATCGCATATCCCTCCCCGTCGGAGAAGGGAACATGGGCATTACCCGGCTAGACGCAGTGGTGGAGAAGGGTGGGATGAGGTGTGCGGGGTTCGGTACACCACCACCCGAGTCTATTGCCAGGGTATGGAGGGGTGGTGCGGGGTCTTCGGTGTCGGCTTTTCCGCTCGGTGAGGATACTCGGCGGGTGACGGACGGAAAAGGTTCACCGAGCCGGTTCGCAAGTTATTGGTGGCTTGCGGAAACTCTGAAGAGCTATCCCCGGTTCTATCAAATTGAGATTACAACGCTACGGATACTGGTTTATTCTCATGGGAAATTCAAATTCACAACATCTATTATTTCGTGTCTATGCTTGGCCCGCTCTGATCTTCTTCTGCTGTGCCACCCAAGTTTCTACCGCCTTCTTCAGCGTCTCCGGGTCCGACTCGCCAAAGATGTCTTGACCGAGGCGGGCTGGAAAGTTGTAGCGGTGCTTCCTGTCCAAGGCGTTGATCTTCTCAAAAACGTCCTTGGGGAGCTCAAACACTAGTAAAAGTCAGTGTCTGTCAGATAGCAAGTATAGACACCAGCTCCTATGATCACGTACCTTCAAAGTTCTTCTCGATTCTTGAGGGAGTAACGGACTTGGGCAACACCACGGTGCCTCTTTGGACAGACCAGCTGATAATGAGTTGCGCCGGCTCCTTACCGAGGGACTTGGCCAACTCGGCGATGGCGGGGTCGTCAACGGCACTGCTGCGGATTAGTGCATGCACTTGAGACAATTCTCGGAAGAAACACGGGTATCTGCTGGGCACTCACCGAGGCAGGTTGTAAATGTTGTTAGCGAGGGGGCTGTACGCCGTGACCACAATACCCTGCATTTCCAAATAGATTAGCGACCCTACAACGAGAATGCAACATCGGAGATTTTTCCCGCCTGAATCAATTGGACTCACCTTTTCCTTGGACCAGGCAAGGAGGTCGGGCTGCTGCAGGTACGGGTGCGCCTCAATTTGGTTCACCGCAGGCTTGATCTCGGCCTTGTCCCAAAGGTCCTCAATTTTCTCGCGGGTGAAGTTGGAAACGCCGATGGAACGGATCTTGCCCTTCTTGACGAGGGCCTCCATTGCCTTCCACGTCTCAATCACCGGGACGTCGATGACGTCGACGGCCTCAGTGACGGGATGCAGGGGGAACCGGGTGGCATCGTCCTTTTTGTTGAAGGATACGGGCCAGTGAATCTAATGCACGACATTCTTGCGTTAGGGAAGGCAGATCAAGAGGGGGGAACGGGTGGGTTTAAGGCATGACAGAAAAGGTAAAAGATGCTTACCAGGTACAAGTCGACGTAGTCAGTCTGCAGGTCACTGAGGGTAATGTCTAGTGCGGTCTCTACATCCTCTGCCTTGTGGTGGGTGTTCCAAAGCTTGCTGGTGACCTGGGAGAGGAGAGACAAGGATCAGCCATCTGATACCCGATGCAGGAAGTAGAAGGATGATGAAACTTACAAAAATGTCTTTCCTTGGGACGCCAGAAGCCTTGAGACCTTCGCCGACTTCCTTCTCGTTGTCGTAAACGGCTGCCGCGTCAATGTGGCGGTACCCCGACTTGAGTGCATGCTCAACAGCGTTCTTGACCTCATTGGGCTTGGATTGCTACAGATTCATATGACTGATCAGGAGGATATTCTCTATCAGCTCACCTTCCTCGATAACTTACCCAGGTGCCCAGGCCAACTGCTGGGATCTCATGTCCCGAAAGAAGCTTGAAAGACTGAGCTAACGTCATTGTTGTATAGCCAGTAGGTAACTGCGACGATGCTTCCGTGATCGGATGTAATTGTACAGACGAAAGTCAGAAAAAGTGCAGTTATCCGCGTGTGTTATGTTGGTCTATCATATGTCACTCCCTTCACAAATAACAATTTCCCCAAGAGCTCTTATATCTCCATTTTGAGGCTGTCGTCACTCCCATCTCGCCTGCAAGATTTCCGCATCACATAATGAGGGGTGTCTAACACGGTCCGTTGTCACGGAATTGGCCTTATGTAAACCTCTTTTTCCGGCCTTTTCCTCCCGTCTTCTCTCCCCCCACTTAACTCTGCATGGCTCCCGCCAAGCAAGACGACGTCCGACGGCCGGGACCCGTTCGTAAGAAAACCCCTTGAGACTAAAGTTGCTAGAGACGGTCCAGACGGGATAGTGTCGGGATGTTCCCCGCTCGGTGGTCTTCTTTGGCGCAACTTGCCCCCACCCCCGCGTCATCACACCCCGAGAACGCCATCGAACAAGTCCCTCGCGGGATTGCCGAGGGGCACCGAGACCGGGTCTGACACGTTTTCCATCGTGAACGTAAATTCTAACGAGGGGTCAACAAAAACCTCACGACGGAAAGAAGAACATTGCAGCATCGTGATACCCGGAGTCGTCAACCTCGATTCCCAAAGCCTTTTCCAAGTGAAGCTCAGCCTCTCATAACTTGTTGCTGATTCATCCCTCTCTCCTTCTTACCCACAAATACACATTCACATCACAATGGCAGACGTTAGAGTACCACCCACGGGCGTCTTCGTCCCAGTCCCAACCTTCTTCCACTCCGCCTCTGATTCCGCAGGCGCCCTCCAGCCCAAGGTCGACATCGACACGCAAGTGAAGCACAGCGTCTACCTCGCAAAGAATGGCATCCGCGGCCTAGTCCTCCTCGGCTCGACCGGCGAGGCCATTCACCTGAACAAGGCCGAGCGTCACGATCTCGTCGCCGGCGTCAAGAAGGGCCTCGAGGAGGCCGGTTTCCCCGACTACCCTATCATGGCCGGCGTCTTGACCAACGGCATCGACGAGACTCTCGAGTGGCTCGACGATTACGCAAAGGCCGGCGCTCAATGGGGTCTGGTGCTCGTTCCCGGATACTTTGGTACCGCCGCGAACCAGGAGAACATCAAAGAGTGGTACACTGTCGTCGCTGACAAGAGCCCTCTGCCTATCCTTGTGTGAGTTTTGGAATTATCAATTACGGTGTGCGCGCGCGAGATGATATTCGTGCTGATGCGGCCTAGATACAACTACCCCGGCGTCACAAACAACGTCCTCGTCGAGCCCGACACGTACAAGGACCTTGCCCAACACCCCAAGATCGTCGGTTGCAAGATGTAAGTTAATGCACAAAGATTTACTCCGCCTCTACCTCAAGAGCCCTTCTAACGCGATCCCCCAAATCCCCAGGTCCCATGGAAACGTCTCCCTCCACCTCCAAGTCTCCTCCGACCCGCGCATCGACCACTCAAAGTTCCGCGTCTACAGCGGCTTCGGCCAACAGCTCGCGCCCATCGTCCTCTTCGGCGCCGCAGGCGTCATCGACGGCCTCGCCGCCTTCTACCCCAAGACGGTCTCGCGCCTCTTCAGCCTGGCGGAGAAGCGCCCCGTCGACCAGGCCACCCTCGAGGAGGTGCAGCGCCTGCAGTACGCCGTCAGCCGCGCCGAGGACTTTATCGGCAAGACGGGCATCATTGGTATCCGCGAGGGTATCATCCGCAAGGCCGGCTTTGGCGCGCTCGAGGGCGGGCGGTTGCCGCTCAAGGGACGCTTGGATGAGAGTACTTTCAAGGCGTTGGATTCGCTCTTGTTTTCGGATATTCAAAAGATCGAGGACTCTTTGTGAGATACACTAGTGGTTTAGATGAGTTGGAGCTGGGAGCTTACGAATTGCATGATTGGCCATGATACCAACATTAAGAGCTTGGCTTAGCCGTCAGGGACTATTTTGGTGCCACGGAAAAGCACACTGCTTGTTTCGCATGCCCGTGTCTGTCTCATGGTAGCGTTGTGACTAGTGGAGCTTGATGCCGATGAACCCAGTGACCGGTCTATTCCCCATGATCCTGCTTCCTAATGCCGTCACTCCACGCTTCCCCACGTCTGCTCTGGGGCCGTCTATCCGAGAGGTAAGAAGTCTGTTGTAAGTGCTTGTCTGCTTGCGGACCAGGTCTGCGTAGATAGGTGTAGCTTGCTGGAAAGATGTATGGACCTATGCATGTATATATGGAAATGCGATCACCAGCTTTAAGTCTTGACTTGACGATGCTAATATCTTACCTTGAATCCTTGGTATCAATACTTTGACCAGTTTGCAATGTCTACCATCCTATCTTCTGAGCATGCAGACCTGCGGCCCTCCGGGCCTCAGACTATAGGACATGGCATCGACGAGTTCAAGCCGAGTGCGGCTGAATTCGAAACCATGGAAGAAGGCGACCCTCATAAATTTAAGCTTTCCAAGACCGGTGCAGATGTTGCCTTGGCACTTTTCGATAATGTAGGCGATGTGCACGGATCCATCGATCCGGAGGAGGAGCGACGACTAGTCCGCAAGGTAGACTGGATGATTCTTCCATACATCTCAGTCTGTTATGTCTTTTTCTATGTAAGTCAGAGTACCTAGTTCTATTGCCAAGCACCGCCCCCAAAAGACTTGTTTATGGTTGCCAAGATACATGTCTAACATAATTAGATTGACAAAACCACCCTCTCGTACGCTGCCATCTTTGGTATCCAGAGTGATCTCAACCTCAAGGGAACCGAGTATAGCTGGCTATCATCAATCTTTTACTTTGGGTTTCTGATCTGGGCTCTACCCACAAACTTCATGCTACAAAAGTTCCCTATCGCAAAGTATCTTGGCCTCAACATCTTCGCCTGGGGTACGTTTCTCATGCTCCAAGCTGCCGCACCCAACTTTGGAGCTTTGGCCGCGCTTCGTGCCATCAGCGGAGCCGCAGAAGCATGCGCCGACCCTGCCTTTATGATCATCACCAGGTCTGTCTGTCCCAGCCTTTTGTCAACTTAACTTGTTTTCTAGATCAAACATCGCTGACTGATCTCAGCATGTGGTACACGCGCCGGGAGCAACCCATCAAAATAGGCCTCTGGTACACCGCCAACGGCATCGGCATCACCCTTGGCGGCCTCCTAGGCTACGGCATCGGCAACATCAAAGGCGCGCTGGCGTCCTGGAAGTATGAGTTCATCATCGTCGGCACCCTGTGCTGCGCGTGGGGCATCGTCATTGCCGTGTTCCTGCCGGATAACCCCATCACGAGCAGCAAGCTTACAAACCGCGAGAAGAAGATCATCGTCGAGCGGTTACGCGAGAATCAGACTGGCGTGGAGAATAAAACGCTGAAGCTCTATCAGGTGCGCGAGGCGTTCACGGACTACAAGCTGTACTTTTTCTTCATGATTGCCTTGTTGCAGGCGATTGTGAATGGGGGGACGTCTAATTTTGGAACTCTGATTATCAAGGGCTTCAAGTTTTCGACGTGTAAGTCAAAACCTCCTCACCGCTCAGTTATGACGAACTTCTAACATGCCGTTGTCAAGTGATCACGGCGGTCCTTCAGATTCCATACGGAGCCATCATCTTCATCGCCATCCTAGCATGCGTCTTCATCAACGACAGGCTGCCGCCAAATAACCGCTGCTTCGTGCTGGTGCTCTTCTTATTACCCAACGTCGCTGGGGCGTTTGGTCTCCGCTTTGTCCCTGATGACCAGCAGGTCGGCAGGCTAATCTGCTACTACGTGAGTTCTCCCGCAAGTGAACCTCCCGACATGCACCATGCTAACAAGCCTCAACCAAAGTTAACCGGTTCTATCAACGCCTCATTCGTACTTCTCCTCTCACTCCAAACCGCCAACATTGCTGGACATACCAAAAAGGTGGTCACCTCCGCGTGCCTGTTTTTGGGATACTGCGTCGGCAACATCGCGGGTCCCTTCTTCTACAAGTCAGATCAGGCGCCTAAGTATGAGTTGGGTATTTGGAGTATGATTGTCGCTCACTTGCTTGAGGTCGTGGTTGTGATTACACTGCGGTTTCTGCTCAAGTGGGAAAATGATAGGCGGGACAGAATGCAGGGGGAAGTCGCTGAGGTTGATCTGGATGCGACGGCGTTTGGGGATGTGACGGATCGTGAGAACTTGAACTTTCGGTATATTTACTGATCAAGTGTCAGGTCTGCTGACTCAGAGACGTTCTGCCATAAGATTTGCGCTGTGAGTGTGCGGTCTGGGTGCAATTTAGATCACTGAAGCTGGGGTTCATGTTAGTCTAGAAATCGTAGCATTGCCACACTCTATAGCGTAATAATCACAGATATTGCAGTGGCCAAAGTTCCTTAAACTACGTCAAGTAAGCATCAGCGTCTCAAGCCATTCGCATGATAGCTTGCTCAACTCGCTTGTAGCTAGAGTGAGATGCATCGCGTGCTGAAGAGTAATATCGTGGACTCACTAATAACGGATAATGATCCCCGCAAAGACGCGGTTTTAATTCGGACGTAGTGAACCGCTGCCGACGCCGGTGCAGTTGGCGCCGACAGCTAAATGCTAAAGTCTGCGCGGCTTCACCTTCACCACACCTCACTCAATTCTCATTGCGCTCACCAAGACTCATCGCAGCATCAACTACAACGCCCTGGCATTCACACTGTATTCATCATGTCATCTTCTGCGACTTCCGCAAGACCACCGTTTTCATCTCTCCCCCTAGACCCTGCTGGGCCGCCTGGGAACGCATGGGGTCTGTACGGCAAAGATGACCGCTTAGGGGCGCTGAACCTTCTCACCCCCACAGTCGTGGCCGCTGCGGCAGCATCTGAGATTCGAACTGGCCAACGAGTATCACTGGATTGGTCATTGAATAATCCCTCTCAGCCAAGCTTCGATCGGGCGCCATTTGAGTCTAGACTCGTCAACCGAGCTCATCCGAGTGGCGAGAAGAGGACCGTCAATGATGATATCTTGCACTTTAACACGCAATGTAGCAGCCAGTGGGACGGCTTCAGGCACTATGGTACTCAACTGAAGGCTGCTAATAAGTGATCCATATCACTAACTGTCATGACCTAAGGGTACCAGAAAGCCAAGCGATACTACAACAATACGACCCAAGATGACCTGGATAACCCAAAAAACATTGGCATAGACGGCAAGTTGACCTTCAAAACTGTGCGTTCATCCTTATTTGGTGACTGACTTATAGCGCAGCTTGGGTCGAAAAGGGCGGCATCGTCGGCCGCGGCGTCCTCCTCGACTACGCCAGCTTCTGCGCCCGCCACTCCCTGCCCCTCGATGCCTTCACCAGCAGCGACATCTCCCTCACCCACCTACAACAGATCGCCGCCGAGCAAAACATCACCTTCCGGCCGGGCGACATCCTCTTCATCCGCTCCGGGTTCACGGCAGGCTACAACGCCAAAGACGACGCCGCGCAAAAGGCCGTCGCGGCGCGCGCCAGCCCGGACTTTCTCGGTCTCGAGCCCACGAAAGACGTGCTCCGCTGGATATGGGAGACGGAATTCGCGGCCGTGGCGGGCGACGCGCCGAGTTTCGAGAGGGCGCCCATCGCGGGTCCGCATACGGCTGTCGGCGGCGTGTGGAAGGGCGAGGCGTGGGAGGAGGAGATGCAGGGAGGTGGTTTGTTGCATCAATGGCTGCTGGGAGGTTGGGGATTGCCCATTGGCGAGATGTTTGATCTCGAGGCTCTCAGTTCGACGTGCCAGGAGCTGGGAAGATGGACATTTTTCGTGAGCAGCGTGCCGCTCAAGGTAAGTCTTGAATATTGATTCTCGCCCAATTCATTCTTCTCCATTACTCATGTTGGAGGGTATGTTCGCCTTGAAAAAAGCGTACTGATGATTTGTTTCCACGTTGTAGGTTCCGGGCGGTGTTGCCAGCCCTCCCAACGCCGTTGCCATATTCTGATCCCAGAGTCACATAGTCTTGGGATGGTCATGCTACTTAGAGTTTTGGCCACGTTTTGTGAGAATAATAGAGTTGCTTTGGTGTTCTAGTCTTCTTCACCTCGGTGTATCTTAGTGTTCGGGAGTGTAATCAATGTGTCAATGTTCCATTTCTGGCCATCCCCGGTGATGGGATGTTGCTGGTTCGCTTGGCTTTGCTCGGACTTTGCGGCTGGTTGGCGCGTTTGCAGATCCCTGACATTTTCAAAATTAATGGTCTGTCGTCTCTGGAACATAATTCTTCGTCTCTCTGAATTTCGAAAGCTTGGCGAGTTGTCAGCACATCATCGCTTAGAGAGTCCTCTAATTCGAATTGGTCACTCGTCATCTCGTGTTACTCTCATCCAGTCTCAAGAGTCAAGACTCCCTAGCTCTGCTAACATATGCCATGTAAGTTGGGAGCCCCAACGACCACCGCCCCAACCATTCAACTCTGTATGCCAGTCCAGATGATTCGACTCGGGTGTACCAGGGGAGCCTCCCCCGCAAGGAACCATCCATCACCCACAAGGATCTTAGTCCAGACCGGACCAGCAAGGCGAGATCAGGCCTAGGGGGCCACAAAGGAATTAGGAGGCAGACTAGGAAGACGGGGACCGGCCGGGTACCCCGCATTGTCTTCCCCATTCCCAAAAGGATTAAGAATGAGGTGACATTTCCGTCTTTCCACGTCCGCCGCCTGTGGTCCCCCTCTCTTCCCCCTTCCCTTCCCACTCACTCGACCATGTTTCCGTGTGTCCAGCTCCAGCAGCAGGATCAGGGGAGTCTGCCGCCAAATTGCTGCCGCACTACGGAGTAAGCCTCCCTCTCAGGGACACGGCAAATGGACCTGGACACCGACCAAGGCGACTCCGGTGTCGGCATCGGCACCGGTAACAACGGCAACGGCAATGCCATGGTGAATGGAATCCACCACCCCGGTGTTCGCCGCCATTCCCAATCACACCATAATGGGAGAGGAGGAGGAAGTCTTGGTAATCATAGTCACGGCAATGGAAGCAAGCACGGCAACGGCAATGGAAACGCATCGTCGAGCGGCAATGGAACCGGGAACGGCCGCCACGGCAGCACCAGCAGCAGCAGCATTCATGTTCACAATGAGAACAGCAACGGCAACGGCAATGGAAATCACAACCAGCAGCTGGCATCTCCGCCGCTCACACATCCGTCGAATCCGACCCCTCTGACGGAGAGCGGAAGACGTCGTCGGCACCGCGACAAGGAGCGCGTCCGCGTCACCCGCGCCTGCGACAGGTGCAAGAAGCGCAAGATCCGCTGCACGGGCATCCAGCCCTGCGAGTTGTGCATCCGCACCGAGTCCCACTGCACCTACAACGCGTCTTATGCACGGGGTCGTCAGCCGCCCGTGGCTACTCGGGAGGATGTCGCCCGAATGGACCTCGATGGCCTCGATGTCTCCGTGTCGGACCATCCCAACGCTGCTGCTGCCGCTGTTGCTGGTGAAGATGCGTTGATGGGCTCCTCCATCGTCGTAGACGTCTCTGACCCCGGTGATACTGATCATCAAGACGAGACCATCATGAACGGCACGAGTCTGGCCGTTGTTGGCAGCGTCGGTCCTGGAACCGCTGAGCCTCCCTCTCGGGCCTCTCCCGAACCTACTCAGACGGATCTCCAAGGCCACTATGTCGGTCCCTCGTCTGGTGTCTCTTTCCTGTTGAGAGTCCAGAAACGCCTTCACCAAGCTGTCTCATTCTCACAAGCCTCCTCCATCTTCACCTTTGGCGATGCACCGCTCCCAGACTTTGACCCCAGCGGCGCCTTCTGCGTCCTGCTGTCCAAGGAAGAGGCCACGACCCTCTTGAAGAGATACTTTGAGTTCGCTGTACCAACTCACCGCTTCTTGCACCGCCCCACGGTAGAAGGCTGGCTGGAGGAGTTCTACGATACCATGGGTGCCATGAAGAGCCAGGAGGACGCACCGGCCCGGAGAGCCCTGCTATTTATGGTGTTTGCTCAGGCGCAGGAGTACATGGGCGCCACACACTCGCGTGAGAACGCAGACGCAAGGTAAGTTATAGAAACACTGCGGAGGATACATCTTCCGTCCCATGTTATTTTACACCGTCATTGTCGCATGCCAATATTCGTCTCCGCAAGGACTAACACATGAGGACCAGCGCTCGATACTTCTTGGCTGCAGATCATCAGCTCTCCAAAGAGAGAGGCGCCGTCCGCCTGACCAGTGTCCAGGCCCGGCTATGCCAGTGCTTCTGGCTGCTGTCACAATCTCGCATTAACCACTGCTGGAGCTTGTTCGGCACCGCAGGACACCTTGCTCTCGCCATTGGTCTGAACCGCAACAGGCATGCGGACCCGGCAGGGGGTTACAACTATATTGAGCTCGAGTGTCGCCGTCGCACGTTCTGGTGCGCTTACAGTCTCGACAACTATCTCAGCGCTGCACTTGGACGTCCACGAACGTTCCATGATGAGGACATTGACCAGGAACTCCCGTCGTGTTCAGAAGACGCGGATCTCCATGCAGATCACATCACACCCCGTATGGGACGTGGCCAGTCTCTCATGCTGGCTCCGGTTGCTCATGTCAAGTAAGTTTTACCTCTCATTCCCTCTCTCGTGCATAGTACTGACTTCAGTCCAGGCTCTCACGGATAGTGAGCATGATCTTGCGTGACCTCTACTCTATAAGACCGTCGTCGTTCTCAAATAGATGTGCTCTGGCGGCGAAATACTCTCAAAATCTGAAGCACTGGAGGGCCGAAATGTCGCAGTTCTTGGATGATGGCGTCAACACGGCATTACTCATTCCCATCTTCCAGCGGCAACGCAACGTGTTAAACCTGGCGTACTGGCATGCTATGATCCTCACACATAGGCCCTTTTTGCTGAGTAACTTTGCCCGGCTACAGCGAAACGGTAAAGCCCGTCGGAAGAGTGTGCCACACAAGGACCAGACGGAAGAAAGCGTCAACGCCTGTCTCGACGCTGCGATGCACGTTGTCGACACCGTCAACGATCTTATACAGGCAGGGCAGCTATTCCGTGCTTTTTGGGTAAGGCCTGATCAACAGTCTTCATTGAAACCCCCCTGCTAACTCCAAGCCACTTGCAGTTCACTTCCTACTTTGCCTTCTCAGCCGTCGTTGTTCTCTATGTATATACCATCCAGCAACGGACAGCCCCGACAGAGGCATGGCAGGCCTACTTCAACGCGGC